AAAAAAAATTAAATGAATCATTCAAAATATATTCCACAAAAAAATAAGTTATTTAGCCTAAACTAATCAAATAAAGAGAAGCAAAATTATTAAAAAATAATTATATCAAAGTTACTATAACTTAATTTTAATAAATTAATATTAATAATGTCATTAATTATATATATATAAAAAAATTAACCATAAGTCAACTCATGACCCGTTAGATACACTTATTGACTCACAACCCGTATATAACTCAACTCTATATACTCAACTCATAAAGCCTATGACTCAAGCGAACCTAACTCGAATCCAACCCAAATAGCCTATTTGCCACCTCTAATGGGAGTTACATTGCCCAGCTAAAGGACAAATCATATAAGCCGAAATTAAAGAATTTTTGAGAAATTATTTTATAATTTTAAAAGGAATGTTAAAATACTTTTTTTGGCCCATCCTATTCCGTCAATCCCTGGAAATTTCATAATTTATGCATGGGTAAATTACGTGGGAAATTGAATTTATGACTTGTTTATTTGAATAGTAGGAGTTTTGTTTTTCTTAAATAATATTTTAAGTTTAAGTTTTATAAATAGAAAAATAAATATTGACAGAGTTTTTCCCTTATAAGATTTGATGTGATTCAATTTTAAATTAATCAAAATTTAATTTTAAATTAATTAAAATTTAATGTAATTTTTAAGTAATAAGGGATTAGTATTAAAAAAAATTATATGGGAAATTGGGAATAAAAGTAGAAATGAATCAATAAATATAGATATTATTTTTTCGTCTTCAGTAGAGAGGATGCTACTGAGGCTGGGAGATGTTGGCTAGGGGTTTGTTTGGTCCTGATGGTGCTTAAGGAGGAGGCACAACATCGGTGGTGGATTGAATTTTTGGTTGCTATGTCTACAAACCAAGATCTGTTAATTGGAGGACGAGATTAAGAGGTTGACAAATTTGCGCAACTTTTGGTTAAGAATTTCGTAATTGAAGATTTTTAAATTTTAATACTCTGACGTAAGGATTTTAGTGGTTAATTTGGGAAGGGACTTTTTGTACTGGATTACTCCCCCTTAGTTTTTAGGTTTTTAGTTTAGTTTAGTTTTTTTTTTTTTTTTTTGAAAGTAATTCAAGGTTTTTTAGTTTAACTCAAATCATTAATACGCTTTTTTAAAAATTATTATAATAATAGTCTTAAATGAATTTAAGTAGGTTTTGAAGACAAGTAACATATGATTTACCGTTGTAGCCTTACTTTCACCTTTATTTGCTTTATCATCCGAAAAAAAAAATAATAATGAAGAAAGTTTGTTGGTAAGGGCCTGTTTGGCAGAGTTCATAAATTAGGGTTACTTACAATAATACTTTACCCTTTTTAAAAGCTTCTTGAAAGGAAAACTTGTTTATTACTTTTTAAAGTGGCTTAGGAGACAACTGCTTGTAAGTTTATGTTATTATATATGTTGTATAAAATTTTAATATATTTTTTTAAAATTGACTTTGAGTGGATTAAATTTAAACTAGTTGTATAAAAATAATTACGAAATAAATTTCTAAAAAATAATTTGAGAGTTAAAAATATATTCCAACAAATGATATCTTGGTAGAATAATTACTAAAGTAATGTTATATTAAGCTCATGCCACGATCATGCTCCATTTATAAAGTTACCTTAGCCACTTGGGCAAACTTATGAAATGTATTTGCAAGATTGATTAATTGAAAAGAAAAGGATCCATGAAGATAACCCCAAATGCTTATGCCTATCAATAATTACTTTTTCCAGCTGCTTCATGATTTTCTTTATCGAAAGTTACAAAATGGAGAGGAATAAAATTATAATAATCTTGACACATTGGGAGAAAAGAAAAATCTTCCTTGGGGAGAAGAATGCATCCAAAGTGGTGGGTCTATACATGTCCAACTGGATATTGTAATTATTGAGACTTAAGTATTGTGTTGCCCATTGTGGCCCATACAATATGACACTTTTGTTGCATGTACTTTGGTAGGTTCCCTATGACTATGGTGTTTCATATCTTCCAATCACCAAATTTCAAAGTGCATGACAACTAAAAGGCACAACATTTTGGTCTTACAATTTTTTTTTTTTTCCATTTGTTTAATTAATTAATCACTCAAGCAGATTCTTCACAACTTCTTTCTAGCCGCAGCTAGCCACTTGTCCCCTCGTATGACCCTTGATTCTTTTCCTTTTTGAAGAATTTTTAATTGCAGTAATTTGTAATTCCATTTGTCACAATTCATAAACTCCACTATAGATAATGGTTTTTTTATTTGTAGGGCTAGATGTTTTCGGATCAAATTATAGGAATCTTGAATTAAATAATCGGAAAACAATGATACATATATATAAATAAATCTTTTCTTTAAACAATTATTGTAGAATATTTTTGAAATAGTTTGTGCATGAACTTGATCTATGAGGTGGGCGGAAGTGGTATTATTTATCACCTACTCGATCAAGATTTGAAGGTTTTTTGTTCCATTTTCTTTTCACCCATTTTCTTTTCTCCTTTTTAAAAAACTGTAGTTGTTAAAAAAAAAAGTTTGTACACACTTCAAAATTATTTTAAATTTAATAAATTTAGTTTTTAATTTCAGATATTTAACTTTAATTATTTATGTTCTTTTAAAATATTATTTCATATGTTTATTTTAATTTTAATTTTAATTTAAAAAGATAATTATAATATAAATTAAATAAAAATCTTATTTAAGTAGTATTTTAATTAGGAATAAAATGATATTTTATTAATAAATTATTATATCTCTAATTCATTGAAAAAAAATTAACTCTACTAAAATTTAACAGAGGGAATAATTTTTTAAGCAATTTTAAAGGAACATATCCTATAGCAACATGATACATTTAAGAAAATTAATTTATTTAGGGGTTAATTTAACTTATGCCCTTAATTGCACCATTTTTCTATTAATTTGTATAGGAAAACACAAAAAAAAAAATATTTTCAACATTAATGACATATAAATGATTTTAATTGA